GTGCAAAGATCAATGGCACAATGGAAGACATAGTTGCTGGTCAATGGTGATAGACTGGGAGGGTTAACATCAAGAGAGGAATCTTTCAAGGAGACTTACTATCACCACTACTGTCATGGCATTGATTCCTCTATCAACAATACTGCTATCAAACATCAAAAACATCTGCCAGGTTATCCTGCCTCCTTTACATGGACAATCTGAAGCTGTATGGAAAAACACCACCTGAAATAGAATTGTTACTCAACACTGTCCAAATACACAGCCAACATATTGCAATGGAGTTTGGACTGGACAAGTGTGCCACCCTTACCATCAGCAGGGGAAAAATAGTGAAAACTGAGGAATCAAGACACCCCATGGAAATAATTTCAGGAGTCTGGATGAAGAAGATCACTACAAATACTTGGGCTTCCTTCAAGCTGACAACATTAAGCACACTGAAGTCAAGAAGAAGGTCAGTAGTGAATACATCATGAGAGTGAAGATCTTAAAGTCCAAACTCAGTGGAGGAAATATTATCAAGGCAATTAACACCTGGGCAATTCCAGTCATTTGATACACAGTTGGAATAGTGGACTGGACTCAAGCAGAACTAGAAGCCCTGGATAGGAAGACCAGAAAAATAATGACAATGAATCATGCTCTTCATCCACGCAGCAATGTTGACAGACTCTACTTACCAAGGAGCATGAGTGGGCATGGAATGTCGCAAGTACACCAGACAGTTGAAGAAGAAAAAAGGGCATTGGAAGAAGATCTGAAGGACAGTGAAGAAGATGCACTGAAGCTAGTACACCACAAAGGCTTAGTGAATACTGAAGAGACCAAACTGGCCTACATGAAAGACCAAATGAACTCAAATTGTATTTGTTGCTTGAAAGAATGGGTATCGCTGAGAAATAGTAAATAATTGAACTTGGAAGGGCACAAATTGAGATTTGGGTGGCAGGGCTATCCATGGTACGATAAAGTTAAAGTTAATGTAGACTTTAAAAACCATTTTATTAGTTGCGCCATTCTGAGAATTTGGAATAGATATAAATCTAGATTGTGTCTGAAAACACCCTTATGGTTATCTCCACAAGAAGCATTTTATAGGAAAGAAACGGTAACTAGGCAGAAATGGTTAACTTATGATAATATCCCTGATGTTCACCAGGGAGAATTTAAAATAAAATCAAGAGAGGATTTGATATCAGAAGGATATAAGTCAATGGTTTACACATGTACAACTGGTAGAAAGATTTATAGTTGATAAAAGGACGTATGGTTTTGAATGAAATAAAACTGTTTTTGAAACTGAATTGTGCATGATGAACATCTTATCACTAAAACGTATACGCTTTTGTTGAGATTTGAAACAGGAGATGAACAAGCTAAAGACTGTATGATAAAATGGGCTAAAAATTTTGGATTTTTAGGATAATATACAAATGAAACAATGGGAAAATATAGTGGATGAAATGGTTAATATTTACCTTCTATAACTTGTGTTATAATCTGAAAGAGAATTTTTATAAAATGAAGTATCGATAGTAATTGTCACTGGAAAGACTGTCAAAAATGTATAAAGGGACTTCAAAGATATGTTGGAAATGTGACAAGAGGGGACTTTCTATCATCTTTGGTGGACATGTAATAAAGCTAAAAATTTTTGAACCCGAATGCATATATTAATCCAGAAGATTTTGAAGATTAATATACAATTGAAATCAGAGACATTTCTTTTGGGACTGATGGATAAACAATTGGAAAAAGCTCATGGATTTTTGTTTTTATATACGATAAACACAGCTAGACTTTTATATGCTCAAAGTTGGAAAGATTTGATATTATCTACAATGGAAAACTGGATGCTAGCTGAGATGGCAGAATTGACAGTTTTGATTAGAGAACCTTTTGTGGGAAACAGAGAAAAATGAAATTATGATGTATGGATTTGATGAATAGTAAAATTAATAGACTATGGAAAATGTACATTAAGATGTAGTTTTAGAGTAAGAGGTTATTTTACATTTCATTTATATCTGCTGTATAAGAAGTTGGAAGTCATTCTTTTTGTGTTTCTGTTTTTCACCTTTTCTTTTTCTATTTTTAGCACTTTTGTTTTCTTTTCTACCTCTAGTTTTCTTTGTTTTTATCCCTTGATTATCAGTTTGTGTTAGTTTTTATCTTTCTGCTTTTTAAAACTTAATAAAACTATTATAAAAAAAAGACCAAACGAAGAATAGAAAAGAGACATGGCAAGGCAAAGTATTACATGGCCAGTACACAAAAAAACTACAGTGGGGCAAAAAAGTATTTAGTCAGCCACCAATTGTGCAAGTTCTCCCACTTAAAAAGATGAGAGAGGCCTGTAATTTTCATCATAGGTATACCTCAACTATGAGAGACAAAATTACCTCAACTATGAGAGACAAAATTACCTCAACTATGAGAGACAAAATTACCTCAACTATGAGAGACAAAATTACCTCAACTATGAGAGACAAAATTACCTCAACTATGAGAGACAAAATGGGGGAAAAAATCCAGAAAATCACATTGTCTGATTTGCCTGCAAGCAAGAACTGGTGGGATCATAAAACCC